TCAATGCATATGCAACTGGCCGTGATTTATGATTTTTTGTTATTTAAAGGCAACGAAATTGAAATTTTCTCTTTTCATTTGTTCTAAATATTGCTATGCACGAAAAAGATTGTGAAAACTAAAATTAGAAATGTTTTTTAGGAAACGAAACCTGTTCTGAAAATGAAGGTTAGAATAGTAGAATCTTGGAAAATATAGAAAATTGTCGCAATATCCACAAAGCAAATGATAAATAGGGTCTCACCTGTCACATTCTCCAAGAGGTATATTTGTCTTTTTGAATAGCTCCTGAAGCTCCAATGCAAGATTCTGTTGTTGAGGAAAAAGAGGGAGTTCTTCTGGCAACTGTATTCGTCGGTTGTCAATGTCGACGTAGCAAAGATCTCCCTGCCAAAGAAAAAAACACGCAAATTGAAATACACGCCCACCAGCGTTAATTGTAAGGAATAATTTGTGCACAATAACTAATCAATATCGAAGAAAAAATCTACCAAAAAACAAATACGAGAGTGTTCTCCCATTCGGCGTCCACACTAACAGCCTGTTATGAAAACTCTGGAATATGTTGTGTAGTAAATCGTGGGGAATGGCAGTGGCCTTGCCTTTAAGATGCCCCTACAGGAAGAGTCTCACACGCTAAGATCAGTGGATCTCGCACGCCATTCAACGTCACCGTTAAGTGAAATAATGCGTCTTCTAAACAATTGAACTGCTGTCATCGATTGTCGAGCAGTGTGTGACATGGCTTCGTCCTGCTGAAACCACACGTTTTCGGTGTTAAGATTAAGCTCGTACAGTCTCGGTGTAAAGAATGTTTGAAGCATTTCATCATAGCGAGCGGATGTAACTGTCGCTGCACTACCATCCTCACGTGCAAAAACGTTATCATAACAGGCTGTTAGAGTGTGAACGCCGAATGGGAGCACATCTTTCCGATGTCATCTTCAAAAAGTAAAGAGACACTTTTGAACATTTTGATTATAAAAACATAAATGACATGCTCAATAATGCACTTTCGTTACTGAATTATTTGTTTTATGGTTTTATTCGTGCAAGTAACATTGATTCAAAATTTTCCGTTTCCCTGCGCCATCCTGTATTTAAGGTTTAACTACACTTGGTCTTCTCTAAAAGGTCTATATAATAAATGTCTACATATTGCGCTAGTCTACATGAAAAAAATGTCTAATACAAGTACGTCCATATTCAGAAATGTCCATTGTCTAAATGCCTACAGGCAAAGGTAACTACAAGCAAAACTGAATATTGCAAATATGTCTACATATAAAAAGGATTCGGTATGAACGTTTATAAGACGTGTTAGTAAATGTAATTATAAATGCATATTTAACAGGAAAAATATATTTATAAAATATATGCAATACATGAATAGGACAAAGATTCATTAAAATCATTCATCAGATTCTTCAACTTCATCTGCTTACAATTTCAGGCAATAACTTAATCCTACAAAGTATGCGAGTATTTCATTTCGCTGTCTATAGTCTTCACAGTGCGATAGCTTTATTTCAACTTGTTCCATATTGACACGATACAATATTCAATGGGATTTTTTCATCTTAAGTGCTCTGCTAGAAGTTGCGTAATAAATATAGTTGTCTTGATACAGTCTAGAAATTTTCAAATACTTGTATAGCGAGTCACAAAAAGATTTTGAAATTTGCTGTGCCATCCGTCGATGTTATTTATGGTTTTCTGAAACACCATGTCATACACAATCCAAGTATCAGACGGGAAACGTGAAGGTATTGCTTGTCGCATTCCTCTTCTACGCACATCCTCGATGTACGTATGACCTTTCCATAAAGCTAGCTAAGGGATCAACTTTGCCACTCATGGTTTCGTACAAATGCTGGAAGACTTTGACATCATTAAGAGATACGAAAGGCAGCTCCATGAGCTGCCGAACTATGTTTGGCCGTTTTACCGTCAAAGTTTTCTCGTTGTTCTAGGCTTATTTTAGCTCTTCATTGACTATTTTCCAAACCGATTGTGCGAAATGGAAAATGCAGCCCTTAGCCTGACCTTTAGGAAAATATGTTTTCATGGCGTTCATAGCTGCCAATTCGAAATCAGTGTAATTTCAGGCTTCAGGCGATACCTCCAATCGTTCGCAATGATTTTAAATTTGTTGAAGTATACTTCTATTTTTCTTCCGTTTTCCGTTGACACACACGCACACACAGTACAACAGCATATACGTTAGCCATTATCCTGCCATGTGGGGTATACAATTAATAAAAAATTGAAGGGACAGTTTTAAATGTGCCTTCTGTTCAAATAAGGGAGCAGAGTGACAGAAGTCAGTCTGTGGCAAAAATTATAAGTCTATCAGGAATGTTAGGGCCTGAGTCGTAAGCAAGAATCGTTGTCCGGCTGATGTAATATCGTATGGATACAATATTTTCAAGTCAGCAATAGTTTTCAGCAACGGCAGCCTTGTTTCATTCAGCTGTCGATACAAAGTTTGGTTACAATGCCCGCCTTTCTGGCATTAAAACAAGAGTTTACTCACTGGATATTGTGCGATATGGTACGAAAGCTGTCGGTGGATGATTTGGCGTTTTTAGAAATCCACGAAATGGCGTATTTGGAAATCCAGTTACGATAATATACTGTTATATACTTTCAAGTTATTATTACATTTGATATATTTTAACATAATACTCGTTAGATATTTGTGTTAGACTTTTAGGTAGTCGACATTTTAGCTGTGGACATTTAATCATTAGACTTCATATAGCTGTAGACCACATTTTTATTGGACATTTTTTCTGTTATACCTTAATACAGTAACTATAGACTTGCTGACCCTGAAGCCGCATTATATATGCACGGTGCATCTGTATGTACTCACCACAGAAACAAAACTTCCAGTTCACACGTCGCTTCAAAAAAGAAACCTGGCAGTACAAAAATAGATTATATATTCACATATGACCGAGTATCGTGGGACTTTACTTTCGTTAAATCCATTTATTTTCAGATGTAGAAAATCATGCGTATAACATTG